TTTAATATATCTTTATTGATTTCAGAGAGAGGAAAGGAGAGGGAGAGACAGAAACATCAATGATGAGAGGGTCATTGATGGAGCCCGCAACCCAGGCATGTGCCCTGACCGGGAATCGAACCCCGATCTCCTGGATCCTAGGTCAATGCTCAACCTCTGAGCCACGCCCAGCCGGGCTAGACTTCAAAGTCTTTACTCACCCTCACCCATGTGCACACCCCAGCCCTCTCCTGCCCCTCCTACCCACTCTCAGAGCCTCCATGCTGCCTGGGACACTCTTAAGCCTCCCAGCAGATACTGGGAGAAGGAGTCTCTTGAAAAGGAACCTCACATTAAATTCCAGTAATTTCATACCTAGTATTGCTGCTCTCACTTGGTCACTTTATTTTTTTAGTCTGTTTTCCCTTCTTACTGAGAAAGCCTGCCCTGGTCTTTTGGAATGGACCCTTGCGAGGGAGCTTGCGAGCGTTCTTGTCTTCACCTGTTTTGGACTGGAAAAGGAAAGGGTCACTCAGATAAAGAATTTCAGTTCGTGTAAGGAAGCTTGCTACAAACTAGGGCTAAAGGCAGGTCTTGGGCATGGATATTGGATTTGGAAAGGAAATTTATCCCAGAGGGCCATGGTAGAGGAGCCTGGTTGACTGGTGGGGATAATGGAGTGCTGGGACAGACCAGATTTGGGGAGTCTTACTGGAAGGTTCACAGAGGAATCAATTTTAACGGCTTTCTTGGCTTCTTGGAGTCTAAGCATTTTCAGTCTACTCCTCTCCAGCATGTCACATTGAGTGCGCAAGGCATCTAGAAACCAGGAAAAGCCCCCCCTACCTCTGAGGACTAGAGACCTTACCTACCCATCCTGTCCCTCCCATCATTCAAATGATCATTTGGAGCAATCCAGCCTAAAGTTAGTCTGAGGACTGACCTGAAGGTGCCTAAGCGCCAAGAGAAAAGGATGAGGGGAAAGATGGAAATGATGAGGTGGTGATAGGGAGATATACTGAGAAGATGACCGATAAATGGGGGAAGGGTGAATGACACATGCACACTCCACTTGGTTTGAGTTAAGCATCCCTCCTAAAGTGGACCTAGATCCTATTCGCCTTTTCCTAGGATCTTGTGATCCTACTTACTGCATGACACCAGTCCCGCCCTATATTCTCCATCATCAGCTATGTACAGTTTCTCCACCATGCTTCTTACCAAGTAGCGTGTGTTCTGGATTCTTCAGGAGGGGCACAAAAGCTAGGTAGGCATTCGCAAGTTGAGTTCCTGTGAATATAGCAGTGTGCTATCCCCAGTACCTGTCACCCAGTCTCTACTCTTCCAAAGCCCAAGATTTCAGGACCCTAATGCTCAAGACTACCTTGACCTGGCTTACCTAATTTCCTCCCCTTAGATCCATCCCTAGGATAAGGTGAGGGGCATGGTACGTGTGAACCTAACCTATTGCAACAGGCAGTGCCCCTTCTTAGGCTGACTAGAGATGGTCAGTTGGATCTGGTTGAGGGTGCCCTATTTTAAGGACAAGTTCCATAATCCGTCCTGAGGACCTTGTTCTATCTCTGGGGAATGCTCCCAAGACTCTACCTGGTGTCCCACGTGCCACCCTACAAACGTAGTAGGTGTTTCGAGCTGTAAGGAATTTGCTGGCATAGTCTCCAGGGATCTTCATCAGGAAAAACAACTTCATTGTTCCCGTTTCATCACACAAATCAATGGTGTCTGGAGGGAAGCCACAGGGGTAATTGGGGCAGCTCAGGAAGGAGAGTGGGGACAAAAGGGGCCAATGATCCTAACCAGAATGGGCTGGAGGAAGCTATCAGGATTCAAGCAGCTCTCTTCTTGCCAGCAGGAGGACTTGGAGGCCTGAGATGACTCTACTACTTCTGACCCTTGGCCATTAGACCCCTCCCCGAACTCCTCACCTGTTTTAGCCAACCCCACTTTACTGCGGGTGTAATGCAGCAACCGGTGGACAGCACAATTGATATTGACAATAAAATGCTGATTATCTAAGAAGAGATGGGATGGAGCATGTGACCCCTCTCCAATTATACCATCCCTATGATCTCCACTGCCCTCAGACCTTCCCAGCTCTACAAACAGACTCCAGCTCCGTGATGCCCCCTCACCTCCATATTTGATGTAGATGAACATGCTCTCAAGAGCTGATGAGTCATGAAGATAGAGGGTGTTCTGGAGGCCTTGGGGGATCCATGGGGTCAGGGGACTGGAGAGGCAGATGGATTACATTGCCTGAGGAAGCCCAGACCAGGCAGACAGGAGAGAGCTATTGGCAGCTGTGGATAACCAACATCGCTAGGGGTGGGGCCTGAGGCTGCAATTGAGGGATTATGAGGTCAGAAGTGGTATGTGTGGCAGAGGGTGGAGTAAGGATAAGGGGAGAAGAACCTGGGTGAGGCCTGTAGATTTGTTGGGAATGGGAGCAACATGGTAAATATAACTCTAAACTGGACCCCAGAAGGACACCTTAGAGAAAAATTAAGTTTCTGGAACAATACTTTTTTCTAGTTAATTTGTGGTACTACTACTTCCACAGCAGGAGTCTACTACTCCTTTTCCCTACCCTCAGAACCATGCCCCCACCCTTACTGTACCTCACATTTTCCCTGCTCCCTGCCCCAACAACAGACATTCTTGATGATTATCAACAGAAACTTTATTTCTTATTGATTCAGGAACAACTGAAGGGTAGATGGAAAGAGGGAGGTTGGGAGGGAGGGAGAAAGAATTTTAAGAAGAGGAAGGGCTGGATTGAGGGAATTGACAAACATGTACAAGGCAAAGGGGCAATTCTTAAGGAGAAGATATTGAATGAGGGGGCAGTTATAGGGGGCACACAACTCAAAATCAACCACAGTTGGTGTGAGGGGAGCATTGGGCCCAGGCTGGTTGGATGAGGGGAAATTAGTACAATTTAGGGCTACAGGACCCTGGGGTTCTGTCAGGGTATCAGGGCTCAGGTTTCAGGGTATAACATGGGGGAGCCCAGTAGGGGCTATGTTGGCTGCAGGGGGAGCCCCCAGGCCCCTCCCCTAGAGCACCTCCTTTTGTGGGAATCTCACTGACGTGGCAGAGCCTTTCGCTGTAGTCTGGCTGCAGGCTCTCCGCCAGTCCCTTAGACACACCACTCCAAGCCTAAAGACAGATAGCTCCAGGTCAGGGGTCAATTAGGGGCAGGAAGTAAAAGACACAGGCTCTGTGTCAAGGGAACTCTCAAAACGTCTACACCACTATGATTCCGGAAGGGACACACAGATTCCTGGGCTCCCAATACCACTGTTTCCATCTGCCTCAACCAATCTACAATTAGTTCTATGTGTCTCTCTCCATCTACCCCATCCCCCAGTTCGTCAGCCACATCCTGACAGTTAGTGCAGGGCCCCCTCCCCTCCCCTCTACCCTCCATACTCTGTCTGTCTTGCTGCAGGAAGTAGGCAGTTGACAGACTGCAGTCTGCCTATGACCAATGTTCTCACCGAAAAGTTCCCGTGGTATTCGGTAACCAGATCCTCTAGGCTCTTGAGGGTAGGAATTCTGGGCATGGTCCTGAGGTAGGGGGAGAAAGACGGAGCAGGGATACGTTGGTAAGGCTCTTTTATTACCCTTTTCTTCCAGTTCTCCCATATGGAATAAAGAGATTCTGTGTTCTCTGTGCCTGCAGCTTCCTTCCATTACCATGCCCACTTGGGTGACCCCTCATTCCTTACTGAACTGCCCTCTTTTTCTGTATTAAGCCTCCTCCACTATTCCCAGCCACCCCCACCTCTTTTTTCTGGGATTCCCAGAGTCTCACCGTTCCAGCCAGCAGTACACACAGATGAGGCTAATAATCAGTCCTATGGAGCCAAGGGGGATGAGCACAGCTTCCAGAGCAAACAATGATGGGGGCTCTATGGACTCTATGGAGAAGAGAGGAAAAGAGCCCTAACACTTGTCATGCTCCTACAACATACCAACATTGGTGAAGCCCCAACTAGGTGCCAGGCACTGTGCTAGACACTTTCCGTATAATTAATCCTCACAGTTCCTGAGAGGAGGGACCAATTAGTATCTCCATTTTACAGACAAGGAAAGACAATCAGAGAGGTTAGTGATGTGCCCAAGATCAAAGAGGCAGTAAATGGCAGAGGTAGGTTTAAACCCGAGATTTGGCTGGTTCCAAAGCCATCTTCATCATGCAGCCTTCCTGGGAATGCTGTAGGGATAGCTTATACATTCTATCTACCATTTGAGCACTCATTGGGCTCCTCAATCCATCCTCCTAATCTAACAATACATCCACCCAACCCTACACAGAAAACCCCTGCTTCCTGGGGGTTGGGGTTGAACTGTGAGGGGAGATGGACCACAAAATTTGAGAGCTTAGGGATAGGGAGGTAGAGTAAAAGATAGTGGTGCTAGAAAGGCTGAGGTGCTGGGCTCATGGGTCAGGGTGAGGCATTAGGTCCATTTTACCCTTTAAAGTATGGCTGCCCCAGTAGATCGGGTGACTCCATTCACTCCAATGCTGAGCACTTCCACAGAGTGGGTTATGGCGACTCCGAACACGAAACGTGTAGAGTTTCTGCCCATCCACACTAGGCAGGGAGAAACTACGTCTGTGGTCCACCGACTGTTCCTTGGGGAGAAAGAGGGTGGGGAAAAGATGGTGTCTATAAAAGAAGGGAGAATTAAAACTGCTGCCCCTCCCCCATGTCATCTTCTGGTTCTTCCCAGTTCCTCCCTCCTCTAAACTACTCAAGTTACACTGCTCCCTTCACTGACTAGAATCTAATGCCTCTTTCCAGATCCCTTAAAGGCTTCCTTAGGTTTACTTGTCTGTCTGGTGCTGGGAAAAGTACAGGTAGGAAAACCCTAATGAAAACCCACTGGTGATGGTAGGGAAAGGAGTTGGAGGAGGGCAGAGGGTGGGCAGGGGAACTGGAAGGAAAAGAACAGGAGCTTGGCCGTTTAACTGATTGAATTCTTTATTCCCACTTGCTTGGTCTTAGCTGCTACATTCATATCCCCAGTCACTCACAGTCCAGCTGCGGTCCCGGTCACTCCGGTACTGCACCAGATGCTCCAAACAGTGGTCCAAGTATCTGTTGCTCCACCTCAGTTCTAGCTGGGATTCACTCAGGTTGTGAAGGGTTAGGTTCTCTGGAGCCCAGGGAATCACTGGAGATATGTGTGTGAGTGTGGTCATTCCCCTGGCCTAGACAAGTCAGGGTCCTGAAGGTAGTGCTCCTGATCCCTTCTCCCTTCTCCATCCCAAACCCTCACCTCTTCCTTTCTGCCCAGGCACCCTTATGGTGAAAGAACACCACTCTATATACTTAAATGCCCTACAATATCCCTGAACTCTTGAGCCCCTTTCCAAATTACCCAGATCCTGCAGTTTTAGCCTCTTTTTGGTCTTCCTCCTAGGTTCCTGTGGGTCCTGGAGCTGGACAACGAATGTATGGTAGAGATGGATCTCCTCTTTCCCCAACCAACAGCCAGATGTAATCTCTGAAGAGTATAGATAGTGGCCACACTCCTGGACTTTGTCATGGTCAGAGTTCTCATACCTAGAGAAGTGTTGGAGGGAAGAGGAACGGTGGGGTAAACTTGGGTACTACAGACATCCATAGCCCAGTCTCCTGTCTGAACTGACTTATGACTTAACCCCATGAGAAAATAATGGGAAGCCTGGAATGCTAGCTACCCTCTTTCTGGGTTCCCATGCAGTCTCTCATATCCAGCCAACTTCCTCTTCGTTCCCTGTGCTATCCCCTCTTCCTTTCTCATACCAATAGTGCAGAGTCAGGTTGGTGGGCTGAGGCTTAGAGCTGCTGTTCCAAGTGCAATTCATATACTCGACATTGAATACAAAACACTGAACCTCTGGGAGGGGCAAGGTGGAAACATTGAGGGTCCCAGGAGGCGTAGAGGTCAGGAAGAAATCTAGGTTGGGGAGAAAATAAAGGGGGGGGGGAGAGAAGAAATGATGGTTAGAAGAAAGTGTGAGGCAGGGAACCCTTCCCCTGCCCTCCCCCCAGTGCTCTTAATTCTGCCTGCATCCTTGTTATGTCGTGGCAGGTTCCAGATTTCTGTATGGCCCCTTCCCACAGCCGCCCTTCTCACCAACCCCTTCCAATCCCAGGTTTCCCACCAGCTGTGATGTCTTCATTCCCATTGGACGTGAGGACTGTTGAGGTCAGCCCTATCCCCAGCAGAAGCAGCTGCAGGAATAAGAGGAATCTGAGTGGCAATGGTTTCTTCAACATGGCACTCTTGCTCTTCGTCCCCTGGGTGTACTGTGTCAGGAACCTGGGCCCCTCACCCACTACCCCTCCCTACCCATACATTTCCTTCTGTCATAGCTTCCGGTGGAAAGAACCTTAGAAACCAGGGCTTTACAGAGGGTGTGGCAAAAGTGTGCTATGACACAGGCTGAGTCTTCTGGGAGATTACGTGTTGATCTAATCTGTAGGTGTAACACCACCTGGCTGTGAAGTGGTGTTAAGTAGGCTGAGTATACAATATTGTCACAAACTCAAGAATCCTTAGACCACCTAGATCCTGGGAAGGATCTTATTACTACTACCATCACCACCATTCCCAACCTCCTTCTCATTGAAATCATTTTATCCTATATAGGAGGGTCTGAACCACTTCCCCATCCTGTGCCATGCTCCTTCCTTAGCTCAGCCACCCTGAAAACACTGTCAAAGCTCTACTGTCTTAGCTAGATGGAAAATACAGTATTCACTCCTGTGGGCACATATATAGCTATCTTTCCTCCACCTAATCCAAACCAGAATATCCATCCTTAGTTCCTAGCTGAGCTGGGTTCCTGTTGAGACTGGTGAGGAGGTCTGACTTAGAAGTAGATTCTGGAAATGGAGGAACAACAATAATAGCTTCAAACTCCTCATCTTCCCCTTACTCTGCTTCCCTTCCTGTGTTCCCTATCTCAGTTAATGGTATCATCACCCTCTCAGTCACCCAGACTTGAGACCTCAAAGTCATCTCCAATTCCTCCCTCTCTCTCACCCTGAGAATCCAATCAGCTCTATTTTCTGTGGTGTTTCTCCCAGCAGTGTCCTCCTTTCCATGAGCACAGCCACTGTGCTAAATCAGCCTTTCATTCCCTCGAGTCATGATTCTTACTAGAACTCACCAATTGGCCTCCCTTTCTAAAGCCCCGCTGCTCTCTGCCCCAGCCCAGGTAGCTCAGTTGGTTAGAGCATTGTCCTGATATGCCAAGGTTGTGGGTTGGATTCCCAGTCATCCTATTGCCAGCTTTATCTTCCCCCAAACACAGAGCTGATTGGAGAGACTATTTACAAGAGTTGTTCATTCAGCAAACACTTACTGAGCCTTTAGTATGTGCCAGGCACTGTGCTTATGTTCTAACCAACCCTAATTTTCTGTGTATTAAAATTCCTCAAGGTTAGCTCAAATATTACCTCCTCCAAGCAGGATGTTTCTTCTCCCCAGTCAGAATTAATTTGTCTACCCACTGTGAGTCAATAGGATTTTATTATTTTTATTTGTTATTTGCTAGTTTTGTTTTTTTTTATTGTAATTTGTTCCTTTTATTATAGTACTGTGTCTTTTCTCATGTCATTGAAAGAATATTGGTTCAAGAGTCAAAAAAAAATCCTAGTCTCAGCTGTTACTCAGTAGCTGTATAATATAGAGCAAATGAACTTCCACTCTGAAAATCAGCCTCCTCATCCACCAATTGAAGACAGCAATCCCTGACTAATAGGGCTGTGGGGAGATTAAAGGAGATAATTGTCTAAAAAGTATCTTACACTTAGTAGGTGCCTCTTTTGCTAGAGCAGGGGTTATTAACCTGAAATTCATGAACACTTAGGGGATGCATCCATGAGCTTCAGGGGTACAAGAACCTTCCAGGAAAGTAACATTTTGTATGTCTCCATGTTCATTTTTCTGGGAGAAGGGCCACAGCTTCCATCAGCATCTCAAAGGAGTTGTGAATCAAAAAGGTTAACAATCTCAGTGCTAGACCATAAAGACCTTGAGGGATTAGACCAGGCCTTTCCGGGGGTTTAATTAGCGCTTTCTCAGCATACATAGGTTCTAATCTTCACAACGGTCCTTTGAAGGCATTATCAGTACGCTCATTTTTCTGATGCGGAAACGAAGACATGATGAGTGGTCTGTCAAGGCAGAGTTCCTAACCAATGCAAATACTATCGAGCACCCATTCTAGGCCCAGAACTGAGCGAGGCGCCCGGAAGCCAGCGCCGGTCACAGCTCCGCAGCGCGGCTGCCTCCCTCCTCGCAGGTTCGCATCCCCGCCCAGTGCGCGGCTCCGGGGCGTTTCGCTGCTGCTGACCCGGTGAAATCGATCTCCAGCGGAAAAGCTCGCGGGCGCGGAGCTCCGCCCCATGCCGGCCCGGCCCCGCCCCGCTGAGGTCGGCATTGTCCGACGATTTCCGGCGTCCCTCGGTTCCCATCGGTAGTTTCCGGCAATGATCGAGAGTTTCTAACGTGCACCTCTGTTGTCTCTCGGCCGCCGT